ACATGCCGACGCAAATCCTACAGCTTCAATACGCGGGATTTGTGCGAGTTGAAAAACAGCTGTCCGAGCTCACGGCGGCTATCCACAAACTCATAGGCACTCGCAGTGACGGATAGTAATTCTCATACACATACAAACACCCGAGGGGCAAAACACATCCACAAGCGCAACAAGCTTCGAGTGAACCCGCAACCATGGATCCTGCAATGGAACTGCGGTGGCTTACAACAGAAAATTCATGAATTCAAAACGCGTCTGTCAATACTTAGCAACAAGGCACCTGACGTTATTCTTCTTCAGGAGGCTAACGTCAGGAATCTTAAAATTAGGGGATACAACACTTACATTAACCCCAGTATACAAAGACAGACATCAAATTTCGGTATTGTAGTTACACTTATAAAGAAAAAGCACAAGCAGGCAAAATTGAATTCCGAGGCGTCATGTTCTGATGACCGCGAAGTCGTCTCCACGCGGGTCAAGTTTGGAGACACATCCATCAACATACATAACACATACATAAGACCGTGCGGGGACTCGAACGAGGTCAATTGGATAAAGGGCTTGGTAGAACAGAACAAGCATACCATCCTAGCTGGAGACTTCAACGCCCGACATACCGCGTGGGGATACCCGAACAAAAACGCCAGGGGAAAGCACATCAAGAGAGCATGCCTCGCAGCTGGGCTTCATCTATGCAACGACCCTGACACTCCAACACGGCTGGCCCAAGTCGCCAGCCAAAAAGACACGTCTCCCGACCTCACTTGGGCCTCTCCACGTCTACAGGCGCAATGGCAAGTCCAGACTGATCCATGGGGCAGTGACCACCTCCCTATACGCATAAAGCTCCCCATCAGCTCCTCGCCCAGGCGTCGAGTCACTTTCACAAAGTGGGACAACTTCGGCACCGCAATGAGCCGTCTTGCCAACGTCCCATTCGCAGACCGGATTCAGCGAGCCCTTCGGGAGTCCCGTGCGGAATACAACGTCAAGGAAGACACACCACCTCCCGACTTGCACCTGATCAAGCTGTGGGACAGGAGACTGGAGGCTCTCCAGCGCTACAGAGCCAGGAGATCCCTAAGGAATAAGATCCGCCTAAATCGCACGACAGCAAAGGCCAAAAAATACACAATCGAGCTCCGCCGCACTATCTGGCGTAGCCTGTGCGACTCCTTTAACGAACGGACAGGCTACCGCAAGCTGTGGCAAGCCTACAAAGGGCTTGCCGGGAAAACAAAAATGTGCAACACCGGAAGCAATCTGGCGCTCCGCCTTGACATCACGGAAGAGCAGCTTGCGGAAGAGGCAGGAGATTGTTTCTTCCCCCAACAGCCCGAGCCACCCGCCGCCGAAGTCTACGCCCGGGAAACCATCGTGCACGAACAGCCGGCGGACGCCCTTTTCACGCTCGCAGAACTCCTGGACGCTCTTGGCGCGGCACGAGCAAAGTCGGCACCTGGACCAGACCGTGTAACCATCACAGCGCTCCGGAACCTTCCACAAGATGCCATGAAAGAGCTCCTTGACACATTCAACACCATTTGGGTGAACGGTGAACTCCCATCCGACTGGAAGAGGTCTACAGTGATCCCTATCCCAAAGCCCGGCAAGACACCACACGCGGTGGCTAACCTCCGCCCGATCTCCTTGACGTCCAACCTTTGCAAAGTTTTAGAACGCATGGTCACAACACGCCTGACGTGGATTCTTGAATCGACGGGTGCTTTCCATCCCATGCAAACGGGCTTCAGACCTCACCTTTCGGCACAAGACAGCCTGCTCATGATACATCATGATCTCTACCAGCGCCGGCTTTTTAAAAGCCAACCGCGTACGCTCGTGGCCATTGACCTACGGAAGGCATTCGATTCGATACCACACAGCGCAGTCGTGGCCGCCGCAAAGAAAAGAGGTATACAGGGCCGATTCCTGAATTTCATCAAAACATTCCTACAGGATCGCACGTTCCAGGTTTCTATCGGACAAACTAAAGGTCAATGGAGAACAAACAATATCGGTGTTCCACAGGGGGCGGTTTTGTCGCCGCTACTATTCAACATCGCCATGGTTGACCTGGCTCTCGCCCTTGAAGCCATCCCACAAATTCGCTTCACCATTTATGCGGATGACGTCACCCTGTGGACGACGGCAGGTGGGGCGGATAGCCAACAACGCTACATGCAGAGCGCGCTTGACGTTGTCATGACCTTCGCCATCCGATCAGGGTTGGAGTTATCTAAGGAGAAGACCACGTACATGGTTATACCCAGCCGACGCAGGAGCGCCCGTACCGACATCCAACTGAGGGTGGATGGAATCCCCATCGGCCAGAACAACTCCGTCAAAATCCTCGGGGTCCCATTTGACCACAAAGGCGGTGCAGTCACTTGGCTTCGGAGAGTAAGATCGCAGTGGAAGGAGGGTCTAGACTTGCTCAAGGCTATCTCGAGCAAGGCCTGGGGTGCACAGGATGATCTCCTCCGGCGACTTGTCCGTACCCTCCTAATCTCGAAGGTAGTGTACGGACTGAACTACCTCCGCCTTACAAATACTCAAGAAACCACACTAGTAACCATGCTGAGAGCGGCCATGCGGGTCGTTACAGGGCTCCCCCGCTTCACACCGGTTGAACAGCTAGAAAGGACCGCTCAAATGAACACCATCCGTGAGATTGCCGAGGAGATGCGGATAAGCCAAGCTCAGCGGCTATCTCGCACTCCTCACGGGCGAATTATTCTTGCCTCGATTGGCCGTTCCGACCTAATTGACGGCCCACTCATGCCTACACCGACGCCACCTTGGGATGCAGAGGCAGTCACTCCCATCAAGCCCCTCCCAAGTCATCAAGGACCTGATCACCCTGGACGACGTGCTACACAAGTAGCCATCCACCGCGCTGAAGTCAGCAAGCTTGCCGCGCACGTGGATGTCTTCTACACGGACGCGGCGAGAGACAACAACGGCCGCACTGCGATTGCCTGGCATTCCCCTACACGCAAAGAGACGAACCACAAGCTTACCGCATGTACACGGAGCAGTTGCATGGCGGAACTTCTGGCAGTTTTGTTTGCCGTTGAAACAGCCACGAACATGCCACGAGCAGAAACTACAGAAACTCGAATATACACCGACTCCCATGAGGCGATGCGTGCACTACAGCAGTCGAGCACATGCAACGTTACAGTTGCGCGCATCCGCGAACTGGTTCGTCAAGCCGCGGCTCGACAAACAATCACCATCGCGTGGATACCGGGCCACGCAGGCGTTCCAGGGAACGAGCGGGCGGACGGGGCCGCGAGGGCACTGCTACAGGCAAATACTCAGCCCTCACAAGGCCCGGTCCCCTCGCCCGTTCAACGGGACGTTCCACCTGACGAGGGCTTTGATCTAACCCAAAAGAAGAAGGAAGAACAAAGAGCACGAAAAGCGCGCCTTGCAGCGCTCCTACCTTCTAACCCCCACCCGATCCCTCGCGGGCTTCCACGATGGGAGCAAGTGGCACTACACAGGCTCCAGACTCGGACTATGGTGACTCCCTTTTGGCGTGCCAAGTTATACAAGTCAACAGATGAGAATGACACAGGTCCTGACCCTGGATGTCCACACTGTGGTTTCCCTGCGACTTGCTACCATCTTGTATGGTCCTGTGAAGGGACGTCACTAGAACGGATAGCGGCAATTAACACCCTACCACCGCACCTTAGACCAATGACCCTTCGGGAATGGACGCATCCGAGAACCTCAGCACCCGCAGAACGAGATCTCATCTTCGCATCAATCATCTCCTACCTCCGGTCCTCCGGGATCGGACGGTACGTCTAATCTATCACCATCATATCACTACCCCTCTCCCACTCCCCCTTCCCCCATGCCACATGAGGTTCCATAGACCAGAGGCATGGAAATTAAATAAACGTTTCAATCAAAATCAACGGGTGTAGTGTTCGGTTTAGTGTGGTGCTCCGTTGTATTGATATTTGTGTGTGCCGTGTATGTGCTCGATGTGCGTTCATCTGATGCGCGACCTCAGGCGCGGAACCAAGAGTTGGGGCTGCGGCTCGCTGCTAATATGGCCCCGAGGAAACAGGCCTGGAGTGAGAGTACTCCAGGAGAACTTTTATATACAGTGAATATACAAGAGCATGGTCGACTAATTAATCGGCAATCGGCAGTCTGCAGTCGGCGATTTCTGGCTCCCCAATCCCAAGTTATATAGCCCTTCGAGGGCGAGAAGGCCCTCTGAGAGAGAGGAGCCTTCCCCGGTGTTCGAGTGTTCACGAGGTGTCCGAAGTGCGGGGGCGGCTGAGGCAATTTCCCGGTGTTCTTTCAGCGAGGGGCAGATGATGTAATCCCTCGACGTTCTTGCCGCGCTCCAGTGGCTGATGTAAGGTGGCGACGTTCTTGCTGAAACTCAACACCGACAGACCCCCACACACACAGGCACGCACACGTACGCCGGTGTTTCTCCTTGCGAGGGCCCGCGATTCCAGATGGTCTCGTGGCTTCGTTCTGTTTTTAGTTTAAAGCCCCCAGTGAAGGCCGTCGCAACAGTTCCTCCGCCGCCCGGAAGTCGGTCCCGAAGAGAAGAGGTCAGCAGCCACTCCTTTGAGGGACCGCAGTAGTGCCGATAAGGAGGTGGATCACCGTCTCCGGCTTTTCTTGAGTGCCGGGCATTCTCTCTGCTCATCTCCAAGCGCTTGGGGCAGCTTGCGAAAAATCTTGAGAGGATGATAAAATTGAACCAAGACCGCACTGCAAATGCGCATCTAGCAAACCCCTTCGAACGCACACCAGGCACTAAAAGGTATGAAAATCGCTCTTAGCAAGATCGTAAGTAAAACGAAACCCCTACCAGGGCTCGGCACCCGCAAGAGAGCAACAAAAGGCACGAAACCAAAATCAATTGTATCCCAGCTTGGGTACAATTGTTTAGCAAAATAAAGTAAAATTTTGGTATCCATGAGCTCGCTCAGTAAAGACGTTTCTCTACTCACTTTTGAGCGTCGGCTCAAGCCATCCGCGTTGGTGTGCAGTTTACCCTTTTTGTACCTGACCTCAAAAGAAAACTGTTGCAAAGCTAGGCTCCAGCGAAGGAGTCGGCCATTTTTGGGCGACATATTCTGCAACCATTGGCGCCACCTAGCCTAGCTACTTGCAATTACTCTGCGGGATGGATGGATGGATGGATCTGGCTAAACCCTGTGAATCGGGCGGTGGCTTGCGCCACCTAGCGAACATTATAAATCTAATTATATGTTTTGAATGCCAAGATTAAATCTCACCCCTGCCTCGATTTTAGCCACCAGTCTGATAACCTCCGCTTGGTTATTTCTACCCGTGTAAAGTCTATTTTTCCTTCACTGTCTTTAAAACCCAATGCTTTGATTAAATCCGCCCGGTCACTGTTAACTGTTGGGTGAAGCCCTTTACAGAAAAGTATTAAGTGTTCAGCCGTTTCCTCCTGCTCCCCACACACACTACATAAGGTGTCCATCTCCTGGTACTTAACCCGGTACGTCTTAGTCCGCAATACTCCTGTCCTGGCCTCAAACAACAAAGAGCTTCCCCTAGAATTATCGTAGATATTTTCTTTGCAAATTTCCTGTTTGAACATTCTGTACGTCTCCAGTGTTGGTTTTGTCTGCATACCCGTTTCCCACAGACCCTTCTCTGTTTCTTTTATCCTTTTCTTAACCCGTAATTCCTGGTTGGCGCCCCCACTGCCGCCCAAATATTTGCTTGATAATTTTCTAGTTCGCTTTCTCTATTTGTTATCTACATTCCTCATGTACAAATAACTGAAAACTTTCCTAGCCCACTGCTCTTCCTCCATTTCCCTCAAACGCTCCTCAAATTCTATCTCGCTGCTAGCTTCCCTGCCCTCGAATGACGTCCATCCCATGTCGCCTTGTACCCCCTGATTCGGCGTATTTCCATGAGCTCCCAAAGCAAGCCTACCTACGCCCCGCTGTTTAATTTCTAACTTTGCTTGAATATCTGGTCTCATGCACAGGACCGCATTGCCTAAGGTCAGGCCGGGAACCATGACCCCTTTCCAAATCCCCCTCACCACTTCATACCTACTGTAATTCCACAGAGCCCTATGTTTCATGACGGCTGCATTCCTGCTACCTTTCATCGCTACATGTTTTTCATGCTCCGTTAGATACTCAACACCATTATTTATCCATACCCCAAGATACCTTTACTTATCCACTACCTTCAACATGACCTCTTGTATCCTGTGCTCGCCACCATCTTTATCATTAAAAATCATCACTGCCGCTTTTTCTTGACTAAATTTAAGACCTAGTTTATCTCCCTCTGTACCACAGATATCCATTAATTTCTGCAAATCTTCTTTGTTGTCGGCCATTAGCACTATATCATCTGCATACATCAGCCCCGGTAGTGATTGTTTAATCCATTCACCTTGCTTGATGAAAGAAAGGTTGAAGCCAAACCCGCTCCGCTCTAGTTTGTTCTCCAATCCCTGTAAGTATAACATGAACAACAAAGGCGACAAAGGGCAGCCTTGCCTAAGCCCCCGCTCTATCTCTATAGGCTCCGATACATTTGTTTCCCATTTTATACGCACCTTGTTGCTATTATATATATCTTTTAAAAGATTAGTTACTCCAGCTTCTACCCCTAATGTACCCAGTATGCCCCACAAATTCTCTTGAATTACACTGTCGTAGGCTCCTTTGATATCCAGAAACGCTAGCCATAGGGGCCTTTGTTCCTTTTCTGCTATTTCGATACACTGCGTTAAAGAGAACAGATTGTCCTCTAACCTCCTTTGCTTCCGGAACCCATTCTGCAGCTCCCCCAGCACCCCCTCGCTCTCCACCCATGCCTGCAGTCTATCCTTTATAATCTGCATCACCACCCTGTAAATCACTGACGTCACCGTTATAGGACGATAGTTGTTTATGTCCGCTTTGTCCCCCTTTCGTTTATATATCATGCTCATCCTGCTTAGTCTCCATTCATCGGGGGCTTTCCCATCCGTTACCATTTTATTCACTGCCTCTCTTAATGCTTGCTTAGATTTTGGGCCCAAGTTCTTGATTAACATAATGGGAATACCGTCAGGGCCTGTCGATGTGCTACTAGGAACTCTTTTCTCTGCCCTTTCCCATTCTCTTTGTCCGAACGAATCCATGGCACTTACCGGTCTGTTCTCCTGCGATAAAGCATGTGCCTCATTCCTTCGGTCTTTAAATTTTTCCGCCATCATTGTCCCTATATGCTGCATTGCCTTATCCCCTTCCAGTCGAGTACCTTGAGCTGTAACTATAAACCTCTGTTCTAAACTTGTCTTATTACTCATGGAGTTCAGATGTTTCCGAAATTTCTTGGCTGCTTTTTATCCTTTTTGTGCACTTTTGACAACCATTGGGACCGCCTTGTTCTCATTTTCTCACTGATTAAACAGGATGCTTCCCTTCTATAAATTATGAAATTATCCCATTTTCTGTCTACTTCGGCTTTTGGTTCCCCCCACTGATCTCAATGACAATTGCTGGATCGCGCTTGCCGCTCCCGCAAGTGAAGCCACCGGGCTTCACTCGCTTGGGATACGATTTGCCGTTTTTGCTAGCCTTTGCTGCGGTTTTCCAGCGTGCTGACGACACGTTTTCTACTCGTTCGTCGTCATTCGCCGAAGAAGTTTTTTGAAGACTCTGTGTATTGTTGAGACTTGCCGTTGTGAACACGTGGAAAATTTTACGAAAGTGCAGTGTCGCAGGAAAAAGGCACAACGCGTCGAAAGGAAGGGCTGGCGGCGTGTTCAAAGCTTCCTTGGCACGCCGAAGTGCCGTGTCTCTGTGCCTTCGCGCGCTTGGATACCGACCAAGAACCGACGCCGTGTGAATGTGTTTAGCGAGTGCAATGTGCGTGAAGCCGTATCAAAAGGTACAACTCGTCGAAAACGTGTCGCCGGTGTCGCGGCGTGATCAAAGCTTCCTTGGCACGCCGAGTGATGCATCTTTGTGCCTTCGCACGCTTGGATACCGGTCAAGAATTGACGCCGCGCCAAAGTTCTGAACATGTGTCGCGCGTAGATGCCTTTAGATCATTTATATATATCGGCCACGGAGTTCTGGATCGTCCAGCTGTTCCGGTGAGTTGCAATCAATAAAAGGGGGAGATCTGTACGTGTTCTTATGTACTATATTAACCATGGCTATGTCCCAAATCTACTCTAATAGATTCCGTGGGAGCACGAATAGGGCAACGTTGTGGAGCCAGGGGGGTTTTCGAAAGCAGAAGTACAAGACGGCGAGAATGAAAATCTTTGAAGCGCGGCCGATATGGTCGTGTGCAATCTGTTGACCAATTACAATTAGGCGAGCCGCGCTCAAACGTCAAGTGCAATTAAGTAGGTTGATAATAAGCCAGCACTGATCAGTGATGAGGAGCTGTTGTGCACGGTATTGTGTAAATCGTCTAAGGACGAAAAAAAGACGTACCTTCTCTCCATCTTCCGTCGCTATTGGACGCTGGATTAAGCTCGTTCCTAAACCGCGAGGGGAAAAGACGCTGATCCAGAGGCACGAACAGCTTCACGCACATTGCACTCGCTGAACACATACACACGGCGTCGGTTCTTGGTCGGTATCCAAGCGTGCGAAGGCACAGAGACACGGCACTTCGGCGTGCCAAGGAAGCTTTGAACACGCCGCCAGCCCTTCCTTTCGACGCGTTGTGCCTTTTTCCTGCGACACTGCACTTTCGTAAAATTTTCCACGTGTTCACAACGGCAAGTCTCAACAATACACAGTCTTCAAAAAACTTCTTCGGCGAATGACGACGAACGAGTAGAAAACGTGTCGTCAGCACGCTGGAAAACCGCAGCAAAGGCTAGCAAAAACGGCAAATCGTATCCCAAGCGAGTGAAGCCCGGTGGCTTCAGTTGCGCTGCAGCGAACAAGCGGGGAAGCGCGATCCAGCAATTGTCATAGAGATCAGTGGTTCCCCCCTTTGCTTGGAATGTCTGTGTTCCCTGGATGCTTCCTGGCGTCTCTCTATTGCGTTCTTAACCTCCCCATCCCACCAGCTCTTGGGTTTATGCCTTCCTTTTCCTTTTTCTCTAGGTCGGACCTTGGATAGCTCTCGCTCAAATAATCTCATTAAATTTGTGTAAGTCCATTCTGCTGTGGTATCGCCAGAAATTAATTCCTCAATTTGTTTGGTTGCTATCTCCAGTTGCTTCTCCGAGTAAAAGATCCTGACCCCGCGACCCCGCCATCTTTTGGCTAACGATTCAACCTTTCACGCTATGCAATAAACAGCGGCTTCGAGTTTGTTCTTTCGAGAGCGGCTTTTGGAACTTTTGGTTCGCGGATTGAGTTTGCCCTTCTCCGTGATGTACGGTTGACGAAGGAATTGTGACTCGAGGAACACCTAAGGTAAGACGCAAAGTGCGCGAAGTAACTGGGTATCGGTTGTCTCCGTTTAACATCGCAGTGCTGTCGACGAGAAGACTGAGTAACTGCTTTCGAAACGCCTGTGGCGGGAATCTGGCTTCGGAAATAAACACAGTTCGCGGAAAGCTCGTGTTATGCTTTTATTTGCTGCTCCTCTCGTCCCGTACAAGAGACGTAGCGTCCTCGTCAAGCCTTATTGGGCTCGATTTGCTCGATTCGGGGCCGCCATATTGAGATGCAAGCGACGGAGGAACTTTGCTCCCTTGCTTCAGGGACGAAAGTTTCTCCCTTTCTAAAGGAACATAGGTTACAAGACCGTTCCTCCCCTAAGGGAGGACTATCCATACCCTTTTTTCTAAAAGTGTACTAGAATACACCGCAGTCTAGCCTTTGACCTGATAAAACGTACTGGACGGAGCGCGCGCAAGCCTACAAGGAGTCCTTCTACAATCAACCATCCATCTTACACGTGACATGTCACGCGCACCAATCGCCAGAGAGATCTGCGGTCACGCTGGCCACAAAATCGTTTAAACTTTTTATGACTAGGCGTCACCAATATTGCAACGTGCCCCCTCCTAGTACTTCTAACCTCCTTGGTTACAGGGGTGCCATCCCCGTCTCCCCAGCGGACGCGCCGCGTCTTGCTACCGAGGTTAAAATGCACCTAGGTCGGGACGCGCTACCTGAAAG